AATGATACTTACCTAAATCCAAGTACACTCATTGATTATGGGTAGGGTATGAGTGACGTATATATGGGTTTGGAAGTTTGTAGATGGGTTTGGGTAGGGTATGGATATTTAATTTCATAATCTAAATGTGTATGAGTTGGGTATAGATACTCATTTATTTGAGGGTGTTTTAATTACACATACAAAAATGAGACCTATTTGTAGAACTTCAAAAGTTCAATTACTAAAATGTAATACGCAAAAAATTTAGGTACTAAAATATAATGTTCCATCAATATTTTGAGGACTAAATAGAAAAAATTTAGGTTATAAATCTAAAGATCTATTAAGTTTAGGTACCCAACTGTAATTTGCATAGCTGAGGCTTAATTTCTTTTATGGTGATGTATTTAGGATGATAATTATTTACTATTTATTTGACATGTATAATTGTTGAAAATTCAATGTATATATAATTGTTGAAAGTTCTAGCCCTGATGAAAAAGAAAAACTCTAGAGAGAAGCAAAAGGAATACAAACTGGAACTCGCTTAAAATTTCATGCCTTCAAATACCGTAGTGCAAAATGACAACTTTCTAATAAGTAATAACCATATATATTTATTTTTAATTGGAGTCGACATTGAGCTGAAAAAGTTAGTGATTCATGGTTCAATTATCAATTCTCTAGATTGTTGGTCAATCTTGTATGGACATGTTCATATGTGTGATTAGAATACATAAAAATAGTATACTAATTAGGGTTAGACGAAGAAGACAAAGAAGAAAATAAAGAAAGAGTTATGAAAGGCGAATAAAAAATGAAACGAAGAGGAAGTAGATGGTGGAAAGGTTTTGACCAATTATTTTAGTTGGCCGTCAATACAACAGTCAACCATTTTCACCGTAGCAATTTATTGACACTTGCTTATGTAGATGTCGTATATTTTGTTACATGTAGTTAGGAGAAGTTTTTTTGGTACCCCGTAAATATACTAAATGAGTTTATAAATTCGCTCTTGCAATATTTTTGGATCGTCTCTCTTTTTATCATTTTTTAATGTTTCACGTAATGAGCAAATATAAAATGGTTGAATCTTCTCATACAGTTGAGTGATACAACATCTTGTATGATACAAACTAAATTTATACTTTTATATTATGGTGGATTGGATTCATCGATTGGTCAAAAGGATTGGTGGATTGGATTATCGATTCAAGTGAAATATAAACATTGGACCAATATGTAAATATAAAAATTGTAGGTACGAAAAATCTCATAAAATTTAGATACCAAAGCATAATTTTTCAATGATTTTACACTAAAATTAATTTAGGGTATCACAATGTAAAATATACATTATAGTGAATAAGTTGTAATTTAATAAAATTTGAGGTATCAAAATAGTATATTTTTAGTATGATACAAACTAAATTTATACTTTTATGTTATGGTGGATTGGATTCATGGATTGGTTCAAAAACATTGGTGGATTGGATGGATTCAAGTGAAATATAAACATTGGACCAATATGTAAATATAAAAATTGTAGGTACGAAAATCTCATAAAATTTAGATACCAAAACATAATTGTTCAATAATTTTACACTAAAATTAAATTTAGAGTATAAAAATGTAAAATGTACATTATAGTGACTAAGTTGTAGTTTAATCAAATTTGAGGTATCAAAATAGTATATTTTTAGGTAACAATAACTATGCTTTACCTTTAATATTACACTAAAATTAAATTTTGGGTATAAAAATGTAAAATGTACAATATAATGATTAAGCTGTAATTTAATAAAATTTGAAATATCAAAATAGTATATTTTTAGACAACAGTAAATATGCTTCACCTTTATATATAATAATAACTAATAAGCAGCGTTTGTAAATCCGTACCGCTGTATCAACGGTCGATAAGAAAAATTTTCTACTGAAACCCAAACGCATGTAAACTACTTTTGCAGGATCAAACGATTAAACCAATTAACTACTATTCAACAAAAACTATCCTACCATTGAATTTTCGGTTACGCACTTTAAAATTGTGGTGTTCAATTTAATTTAATTATATCTTGTAATAGCACCCAGCCGAAAAAATTACACTAATAGCATCCTTTTTTATGGACCACATTTTAAAGGTGCGTTTTATATATAAAAACGCATCCTCAGGGTGCGATTTATACATAAACCGCACCTCTAAGGTGCGTTTTGCTCCACGAACCGCACCTCCATGGAGCGGTCTGCGTTGGGTGGACAGCGGCTTTGCAAACCGCAGGATTGTGGGGCGGTCCAGCAGGCAGGAGCAACGCCACGTCAGCGATCCGCGTCGTGGATCGCAGAACGCAGCGAGGAGGAGCAGTTTTGGAGCGTGGATTGTGGAGCGCATTGGGAGGGAGCGGTCAGCGCCTCGGGACGCGGAGACCGCATCATCGGGAGGGAGCGGTTTCTACTCTAGCAAAATTACCAGACCGCCCTTGAAGGGTGCGGTCTGATATAGTATAAATACCCCCTTCCCCCTCTCATTTTTTCACACCACAACCATTCTCCACTCTCTCTCTCTCTCTCTCTCTCTAGAATTATCTCTCTAAACCCTCCCCTCCCAAAAGCCTAGGAAATAGTAATCTGTTGGTTGCGGCTAAGTCCGATCTGCCATCAGAAAACATTTCTTAGGTTTTTTCCTCAAAACCCACCTGTCCGAATTTCCCAAAAAAATGGCCGATTGGTGGCAAGGAGAGGGAGTTTATGTTGATGAATTTCAAGCGGTACGTACTCATTATTCTGATTTAATTTTTGTTGTTGTTATAAGCTTTTTAATTAATCTATATACTAACCTCGTTGTTATTTTCTCGTAGGTTGGGGAGAACGTGGATATATACAACCAACGGTATTATCTCGAGCAAGGACCGTTGGATCCAACCGACTTGTACGACCAACCCAACCATCGGTCAAGGGATGTTTGGAACGCTCACCCGGTACATACAATTCTTTACCATTTGTCCTTCTTTTATTTTGTTAGGGGTCGTTTGGATTGAGTATTTGACAAACTTGTTGTTTGGGGTCAATTACCACACAAATACCACATAATATACAACCTGTTATTTGGTATGTGATATTTGGTCTCAAACTTGTTATTTGGCAAATACCTGCCCCCCTCCCAAGTATTTGGCAAACAACACTTTTTGTGTTATTTGGTCTCAAACCTGTTATTTGGCAAAACACTTACATCCAAATAACGCATCTCACTTTTTGTCAGCCAAACATGTTATTTGGGGTCAAATAACACAAAATCTGTTATTTGACCCCAAATAACACCCCCAAATACTCAATCCAAACGACCCCTTAATGTATTTAGTGGAATATAAAATAAATTTATGTTGAATTTTTAATCGTGTGTTCACCGCACGGGATATGACCCAGTGGCCGTGTGTCTTGCTGTTGATGGCCCGAATCCTAACATTGCACCCCTCGTGATGATTACGGCATCCGACTATGAGCCTTTTAGTGTTGGAATGAGTTGTGTGCCATTCAAAATGCCGAGTCATTGCTTCTGTCTCAGTGGCGTGCCGCACCTCCTTCTTCGAGCCAAATTGTTGGCCCTTCATAAACCCAGTGAGTGGACCCCATATTGGGACCTCTGGCGACTCCATGTCGCTGTCGACCATCCAATTGTCGTCTGGAATGTGATTGTAGTAGGGGAATGGTACACGGTCATGAGCCACCTCATCATCATTAGCTGAGTCTGACTCTGGTCCTGAATCATCAGCACCTTCAAGAGGGTCGGAGCTGTCTGCACTGACGTTGTTCTCTCCTTCTTCATCGGAGGGGTCACTGACTGGTGCTGGCAGGGCATCTCCATCTGATCCAGCTCATGAAAGGCACCTTCATCAGCTCTATAATGGTAGTTGTGAAAACTACCGCCGCCTGAGTGGAAGTTGTACTGAGGTTGGTTGGGGAGGTCCGGTTGAACTTATTCTTCATATGACGGGAAAGATTGATGATGACCTTCACCTTGCTCTTGGTACTGAAAATATGAATGAGGATCATGGTAACTTTGGTAGGGATGATCTCCATATATTGACCTCCACCATGGATATCAGATGTTTGACCGTGTCCAGAATGACCTCCAACGCCTACGACCGGCTCGGTGTAAACGAACATCTCGGCTTTGGAAAGATTGTTGGACCTCATGAATTCGAGTATGTCATCTACCTCATCCTGAATGGTTATGAGATATTCCTCATGCCACAATGACCCACTTTCTCTGTTTGGATATCGGTACACCATACGATCAACTCTTCTCGTGCCATCCATGCAAGTAACGTTAGTGCACATTTGATGGAGGTCTTGAAGCAGCAGTCTGGTAGCGACCTTTATCTTCTGAAAATTGCCACCGATGTAGGTGACCCCCTTTCCGGTCTCTTCCGTGTAACCATTCCACCGTAAGCCAAGCGTGAACTTTAGGAATGCCATCTGCAAAAAAACCGTAGTTCAGTTAATATCATAAAAATCAAAAATAAAAAATAACAATAAAAAGTAATACAAAATAAACTTACGAGTTAATGTCAATCGCAAAACTACTAAAGAAATATAGAGCTACAACAGAAAATTGAAAAGGGAGAACGAGAGGTGTGAAGAAAAGTTGTTTTCCGGGAAGTCTTTTATAGGCAAAATCACTGATGAAAACCGCACCTCTAAGGTGCGGTTTTCGTCTAACATGCAGACCCATGTCTATTATTCTGCATGCATGTCGGAAATTAATTGACCAAAACCGCACCTTGGGGATGCGGTTTGTATGGAAAAACCGCACCTTGGGGATGCGGTTTCGTTTTGGAGAAACAAACCGCATCTCCAATGTGCGGTTTTGCTAGGTCAGGTCAAAACCGCACCTTGGTCACGCGGTTTCTGTAGGTCAGACCTGAAACCGCTTGGCCAAGATGCGATTTTGGTCCAGAATTATAAACCGCACTCTGAGGGTGCGGTTTATATATAAAACGCACCTCTAAGGTGCGGTCCATAAAAAAGGGTGCTATTAGTGTAATTTTTTTTCGGCTGGGTGCTATTTTTGCAATTTGTTTTAAAAGGTGCTATTTCTGGAAAAATCCCCAATAATGGAGTCAGGAGTTGGACTGCTAGTCATGCCAAAACCTTTTTGCTGACCCAAAAGCCATAAAAAAACTCTTTTCATCGAGAGGGATATTGTAAAATAGAAAATGTGCAAACTTTAACATGTTATTGTGGTATAAGATCCATTATGGAACCTCTCCTAACAATTCGAGTTATTGGGACCAACTGGTTTATGACATGGTATCAGAGTTGGTTTGTCCATGAGGTCACGTGTTCAAGTCCTCAGGACCCCTAATATTAACCGTTGTCTTTCAACCACATGGTAGGGCTGGGCCTGTGCAAACTTCAAGCCCATGAGTCGGCTTTCGTTTGAGGGGGCATGTAAGGAAGTGGTTAAGCACCATACACGGGCCTGTATAAGATCCAGCATAACCTTCTCCCAACAATTCGAGTTATTGGGATAAACGGGTTCTTGATATGGTATCAGAGCCTTCTGTGATCGAGAGGTCTTGTGCAAACTTCAAGCCCTTGTGAGTGGCTTTCGTTTGAGGGGGCATGTTAGTGTGTGGTATAAGATCCATTATGGAACCTCTTCTAACAACTCGAGTTATTGGGATGGAACCTCTCCTAACAACTCGAGTTATTGGGACCAACTGGTTTATGACATAACACATTTATTAGAAACTAAAACAACCATATAAATACAACCAACAAAGCTGAAAATCTCGAGTTATTGGGATCAACTGGTTCTTGACATGGTATCAGAGCCTTATATGACCGAGAGGTCTTGTGTTCGATTCCCGGTGACCCCCATTTGTTAAGCACATAGTATTCTTGTTTTCAGACCTGTGCAAACTTTAAGCCCTTGTGAGTGGCTTTCGTTTGAGGGTGCGTGTTAGTGTTGTGGTATATGATCCACGATTGAACCTCTCCCAACAACTCGAGTTATATATTGGGACCAACTAGTTCTTGACATGTACCATCTTATTTCAACATAGCCTCCCTGACTCGCTATGACACAACACCTAACAATGGCCAAGTGTAACCAATGGAAGGGACTGCAGTATAGTGGCTCAAGTGATAAATATCGAATCCACGGGTCTCTAGAGTTACTATTACTCAGCTTCAGTTTATTATTTAGCAAACCAGATCAAGATGAAAGAACTAAAATTACTCTAGCAAACTACAGTTAAAGTTAATCTAATTACAGGTTGGGAACTCACTTAGGTATGATTTCCCCTAGCCACTAGCCAGACTAACGATTGATGATTTCTAACTTGTTTCACTTTCATTCACAATGCGGAGAATCCTTGACTAGACCTTGAGTCTCGACTAAAGGAACAAGACTCTCTTGAGTCAATTGCTTAGAGGGACGTATCCTTCTCTAGAACAACTGATCAAGGCGTTCTGAACTAGACTCCCTCTATCGAAAGAGGTTCTCAATCGATACAAAGTAGTGAATCAACCCTCGACTAAAGCAATCGATCCACGAATAACAATCTATGGTGATCTATTGACCTAATCAGGTATTCCCTCTCATAGGATCAAAGCAGAATCAATAATCTCGACTAAAGCAGGATTGAATCATGAACACATGCATATATTGAATATGAACTCAAGATTATCAATTCAGAGTACTCATACAATCATCCAATCAAACAAACATATCTAGGGTTCCTCAAAACCTTAGTGAAGGGAAGTTACTCCATAGAGAAGAGAGAGACTGCAGTAAGAATCTTCAGATGATCAGTCTTCAAGTCTGGGCTTCTTCCTCGAGCTTCCAAGGCAAAGAAATCCTCCAATTCCACTCCAAGAATGCCCTCAAATCGCCCTCTCTCTCTTTGGTTCGTCCCTTGTGTGTTTGGGATCCAAAACCCAGCTCTCCCCTTTCCTTTTGGCTGAAAATCTGCTTAAAAGGGCATCAGTGGCCAAAGCACGGTCGAGGGCACGGCCGTGTAATGCCTCAGCCCGCCCGTGCTTTGGCTAGGGTTAATTACACGGCCAGTGCAATGGGGGAAACACGGCCGTGTTTGGTGATGGGCACGACCGTGCTTTGGGTGGACACGGCCGTGCTTTGTGCCCGTGTTTTGGCTTGATTTTGCCAACTCGAATTTGCTCTCGGCAGTATAAGCACGGCCACAGAACACGGCCATGTAATGCTTTAGGTGTGCCCGTGTTTTGGCCCCAGCTCGACGAAATGACTTCCGAATGCCCCAAAACTCGTGCTTAGCCTTCCCTTTGACGTCTGGGACCTGAAATATGACAAAATAGCACAACCCGGCGTAAAATAGACCAAAAACACACGACTATGCCCCTCAAACGGATAAGAACTAGGGGCGCAAATATGTGCAATTACATCGTTATTAAACTCCCCCACACTTAACCGTTTGCTTGTCCCCAAGCAAACCTAGCTCAAACCAATGCAACTCTCCAGACCTCTATAGCAAAAAACAACCCAGATCGTGGGTAGAGGACTTCCTAGGTCATTTAGCAGCTTACGAGGTCAATCGACGCACAAGTCATCTCATAGCTTCTTCGGCGAGAGCACTAGTATCGAGTCGGCATCATGGCAAATAGTGAACAGAGGACAAATGAATCGTGGATGAAGAGATTCTCAAAAACAAAGGATCATGGACTCACATTTTTCAAGGTGCTCTATTTTCTTCTTGAAGATGGTTGGAACCCCTTTTCTTTCTGTTTTGCTTGTTTTCTGTTATTTTATCCTTTTTTTTTCAAGGGTCCCAACCTGCTTTTCAGAAAATGGGGGCTCCCACCTAGCAGAGGTTTTGCGGGAGCCCGCTTCTTACCGGCCATGCCAGGAGCGGGTGTCTCGAGCCTCGTGCGGGGGAAAGACATGTAAGGGGGCTGGAGGTAGTAGGTGGAAATTGGGAATGGATTCCCGTCTCCCCTTACACACTTTCGCCCTATTCGCACGGGAGACGTTATTTTGAAGCACATTTTCGGGCACCTGCTAAACTCAAAACATGAAACAAGAGTCCATGACAGGTAGAGAGTCCACAACACCACATAATTCAAGGCTCCTAAGATCACTAATTCACTCAATCAACCAACACAATATGAAGAAGAAATGAGACTTCTTAAATGCATCAACATCCTCCATAGTGCTACACTACCTCCCTAGGTTGCATATTACTATAAAGACTGTCAATTCGAAGCATACTGAGCAGGCAATTGCACGGAAACACGTACTTGGAGCTCTCAAATTTAAAATTTTGGACAGTGGACTAGGCTCCAAGCACACAAATAGCGAAACATTCACCCGCATAAATAATCGAACATCCCCCCACACTTAAGCACGACATTGTCCTCAATGGAGGAAAGATAAGGAGGGTAGAACGAAGTTACCAGATCAAGGGTGAATGATGATGAACGGGTCAGGCGGTGCATTCCAGAAAGAGAGAGTAATCAGAACACAAACACCACACAGAATCTCACAAAGGTTGAGTTATTGACTCTAAAATCAAATAACAAAACTGACTCAACCGAGGAGAAATAGAGAAAGAAATGAAAACCGACTGGTTGGGTTGCCTCCCAACAAGCGCTTCTTTCACGTCGTGAGCCAGACGATGGCTCCTAAGTTTCGGTCCATGCTAGAACCTCCTTGAAGTTGAGGTTCTCGTCGATGAGGTGGAGTCTCAAGTCACGAGCATGTGGTGTGGCAGGTGATGAAGGCTCATGTACTTGATGCAGATGAAGTCTCCACCCTCGAGACCTCTTCTTCTCTTCTCTCGTCTCATTGCCCCAAACCAGATATGACAGCATCGATTGGCCACCATCGCGTCCACCAAGAGGGACCGATTTCGATGTGGCTTTGGTCCGGCAAAGAAACACTGCAAATGGGTCCTTGCTAAGCAGTTCCTCAAAGTTTGGTGGGGATATCACTTGCAACTCATGGCCGGTGCAAGCCTCTTCCACCTCAACTTCGTCCTCAGCCTGGACGCCAATTGCTTCTTCAACCTCCCTTCCTTCTTCATGTGGTATCACCCCTGGGAAATGATCAAGAACTCCTCCAGCTTCACTTTCGTCATCCTCCACAACTTCTTTCTGCACCCTTTATTGCTCTTCTTCTTCTTCTAGCACGGATTGGAGAGCAAGTTGCCAAGCAATTTCTTTCATGAGATCTTCTTGCATCTCCTCACTCATGCCTGCCTCTTCAAAGCTCAGTTTGGGGTGTGGGAAGGTGCGGTCGGCTACGACATGACACTCTTGATCATGATCATCACGGGAGCTCTCCGTGACAACTTCAGTGTGCTCCACAATGTCCTTGTAGCCTTCTTCGTCCTCCTCCTCTTCTCGTATGGTAGCAGAAGGGTGATCTGGAGCAGGTTGCGCCCAAGATCGCTCAAGATCATCGACGCTCTTCTTAAGGCTCAGGAGGATCTCCTCTGTTTCACGATAGGCCTGGACACAATGATCCATCCTGGAGCATGATCTCTCCATGAGAAGCCTCAATTCATAGTGTGGATCTGGCTGTGGAGTGTAGCATGGCTCTGCAGAATGGCCCGTGAAGGCCGCCATGGGTAACTCCAGCTCCAATGGCCCTTCTGGTTGTGGGAGAAATTCTTCTTGGTAATGAGGTTGTTCTTGATATGCCCAGGGGTCCGGTTGTTCTCCGTAGTAAGGGGGTTGGTACTGGAACCCGAATCCATAGTCTTCTCCTCCTTGATTGCTCCAGGGAGTATCGGGGTAATACCACCCGGATGGTGGTGGATACCCCCAATGATTGGAGAAGCCATTAGGATCCATGATTCAGATCTGCACCAACAAAAACAAAAACACCCAAGTGAAAAGCAAGGGTGGAAAAGAAAAGAAAAGAAAAACGCTAAAGTAACAAACTTCTGCCTTTCCTAATACTCTAGAAAGTCCCCGGCAACGGCGCCAAAAACTTGACTCGCTATGATTTCCCCTAGCCACTAGCCAGAATAACTATTGATGATTTCTAACTTGTTTCACTTTCATTCACAATGCGGAGAATCCTTGACTAGACCTTGAGTCTCGACTAAAGGATCAAGGCTCTCTTGAGTCAATTGCCTAGAGGGGCGTATCCTTCTCTAGAACAACTGATCAAGGCGTTTTGAACTAGACTCCCTCTATCGAAAGAGGTTCTCAATCGATACAAAGCAGTGAATCAACCCTCGACTAAAGCAATCGATCCACGACTATCAATCTATGGTGCTCTATTGACCTAATCAGGTATTCCCTCTCATAGGATCAAAGCAGAATCAATAATCTCGACTAAAGCAGAATTGAATCATGAAAACATGCATAGATTGAATATGAACTCAAGATTATCAAGTCAGAGTACTCATTCAATCATCCAATCAAACAAACATAGCTAGGGTTCCTCAAAACCTAAGTGAAGGGAAGTTACTCCATAGAGAAGAGAGAGACTGCAGTAAGAATCTTCAGATGATCAGTCTTCAAGTCCGGGCTTCTTCCTCAAGCTTCCAAGGCAAAGAAATCCTCCAATTCCACTCCAAGAATGCCCTCAAATCGCCCTCTCTCTCTTTGGTTCGTCCCTTGTGTGTTTGGGATCCAAAACCCAGCTCTCCCCTTTCCTTTTGGCTGAAAATCTACTTAAAATGGCATCAGTGGCCAAAGCACGGTCGAGGGCACGGCCGTGTAATGCCTCAGCCCGCCCGTGCTTTGGCTAGGGTTAATTACACGGCCAGTGCAATGGGGGAAACACGGCCGTGTTTGGTGATGGGCACGGCCGTGCTTTGGGTGGACACGGCCGTGCTTTGTGCCCGTGTTTTGGCTTGATTTTGCCAACTCGAATTTGCTCTCGACAGTAAAAGCACGGCCACAGAACACGGCCGTGTAATGCTTTAGGTGTGCCCGTGTTTTGGCCACAGCTCGATGAAATGACTTCCGAATGCCCCGAAACTCGTGCTTAGCCTTCCCTTTGACGCCTGGGACCTGAAATATGACAAAATAGCACAACCCGGCGTAAAATAGACCAAAAACACACGACTATGCCCCTCAAACGGATAAGAACTAGGGGCGCAAATATGTGCAATTACATCGTTATCACTCCCCTAAACTAAACCATATCAATACTTAAAAAACATCACTATCAGTTTGCAAGAGAAGCAAACTCAAAATGCTTGTTGCAGCAAAGGCTCTATGACTCTGCACACTTCATGCTTCCATTTAAAGCTTTATCAGCTTGTTTAGATACAATTCAGGAAGAAATGGAAATGGAATTCTATTTTCATTTTCTTTTTTAATAGAATTTCATTTCCAATTTTAGTGTTTGGTATAATTCCTATAACTATAGAAATGAATTGCACTTTTAACAATAATTAAAAATGGGGTTAATTGCATTGTTGGTCACTGAGATTACAAAAAACGTTCATGTTTGGTCATTCGAAATATTTAATTTCATAAGTGATCACTAAAATTAGTTAAAGAGTTCAAGTTTGGTCACTCTCCGTCCATCTCCGTTAAGTTTTGCTTATGTGACGGTAAACTCTTACAATTGACCGTTAAATGTGCCACGTGGCAATTAAAAAATTAATATTTTATATTTTATAATTTCCAACTCACTACCAACCCTCCTTGCCACCTGCCACAACCTCCGCGGCGGAAAACCCTAGCGGCGGCCAGTTCCAAATCATCGACCAGATGAAAGCTTGGTTGCTTCACAAGCTCACATTCAGCCAGTTCCTCTCAAAGAAATGCACACGAAACACTCTTATTAAGTTCTGATTTGGATAACCATTTGACCCCAAACTTCTCAGCTTCTGAAGTAGGATGAATGAGCTGCCAGATAAAATACCTCTTTATGGGCTACAACTCAAACTCCATGCACTGCCTCCATTTTCTTTGATTTACTAATTCCCCCAAACATTGAGGATTTTTTTGCTTTATCCAAAAGAGAATAGGAGTCAAACATGATACTATCAGCTACAACATTCTCTGGAAATTCTAGCTTGCTTTTGATCTTGACCGCAAATCAAGTAGAGGCGCACCAAGTACAATGATTAAATCATCTTTTGCATCCATAATACTGTAAATGTATCGGTCATACCATCTCCATTCTACTATATCAGCAAGTTGAATTTGAGTTACTGGTAAGTTGATCCAACCAATTTTATAGATTCTGGAATTTTTGCAACTTCATCAACTACTTCAGCTTCTTTATCAATTTTTGGTTTCTCTACAGCTACATCTATTACTTCGGCTTCTTCATCCGAGTCTGGAATCACTCAAACTTCATATAGTGCATCAACTTCTTCATTCAAAGCACATACTTCATTCCTACATCCTACCCACATGAGCTCATAATCAACTCTCATCAAGCATCATTTTAATAGATCCGTAATATAAATCCAAGCCTTGTTTATGTACATTGGCTTGTTTTTTAGGCTTCATATGACCCTACATCAGGTCCAAATCACAAAACTCCAGAGCTTTCAGGTAGTAAACATTGCTCATTATCATCTATAACTCCATTAGGTGGACCAGAATACAAGAAAAACATTATGTTCTTCTATCTTGTGTATGAAAAAAGGAGCCCCTACTCCTCATGGAATATTTTGCAGGTTCCACGATGAATATGGAAGACTAATTTCTTATTCCGCATATGCTCAATAGTAAGCAAATTTGTTTTTTAAACCTAGCATATATAATACCTATTGAACAAAAAAACCGACTTTTGTTCAAGTTTCAGACTTATAACCCATTTCCCCTCTACTTGCAATCTAGTTCCATTCCCTAATCTTACAGTACAAGAAAAGGAAGATTCAAAACTAGTGAACCAATTTTTGTTACCAGTCATATGATTGTTGCACTGTGAATTCACAAACCACCAAGTTTCCTTTTTGTCCACGCATTTGTATCTTGAGATGGCAATGGTACAATTTGAAACTCCTCTTCTGTAGACTCTATACAAGCCATCAACAAAACCTCTTCCTTCATGTCACCATAAGTGATAATTGACTTGTGAGCCTGCTTGTTCCACTCAAGAACCTCATTTTTGAAATCTACCCATTCGTGACACTTGTAGCATTCTACATTCTCCCTATTCCATCTGGCGCCAAGACCCTCTATTCTTCCTTGAAAGATACCTTTGTTTTTGCCTCTTCCATCATCATAATGTGCTTTCGAAGCTTGCCCATTCTTAGTTTGTCTTTTACTGAGTTTTTGTTCATGCACCAACAAAGATCTTTGCATAACATAAACTAATAGTGTATCTACCTCCTTAGATTCTTCTATTGAACACACTATGTAGTTGAAGTTTTTAGTTAGATTTCTCAACACCTTGTCTACAATCTTCACATCATTCATCTGGTCTCGACAATTTCTCATATCATTGGCCACCTCAATCACTCGACCAAAGAAATCATTAAAAGTCTCTTCTTCGTTCATCTTTAGGACTATAAAATCCATTCCAAATGGCTGTAAATAAGCATGTTGACCTAGCATCACCTTGATACTTGACCTTCATGGAATCCCACAAATCCATGGCAGTTGCTTTTTGTGTAATCGTCTTCAGGATGCTTTTGTCTATACTGCTGAACAAGTAATTTTTTGCTTTGAGATACTTCAACTTCAAATCCTCCAAAGCCTTTGACTAATTAGTAGTTAGCTCTAGTTTTGAAGTAGTTACTTGGACACCATGAGACACCACACACCAATACTCCTTGGAATGCAGTAGGTTTTTCATCAACAAACTCCAATAATCATAATCCCATCAAACTTGGGTATGCATGATGACACACAATTTATAGTGTTTATCACTCCCATATTTAGTACATTTTCCCTTCTATCAATGCATCTTTAGTATATTTGACTATATTTCTAATAAATATCACAACCATTTGATTTATGAGCTTATGATAGACCTTGAGTGTGTTTTGTGCTATTTTACGCCTTTTAGTATTGTTTTGTCCTTTTCAAGGATATAATACACTCAAACGAATATGGATCACCTAGGGACCCATTGGATCAGAAGGAGGATAAGATTACTAGCTCATGGCTCAAACGAGATGGATTTAGCCATTAGATGCTCACTTTATGGCCAAAACAAGCAGATCTGGCAGTGAAGCAGATCCAACTTTGACCGAGGTCCAATCTGAGTTCTACTAGTAAAAAATAAACCCAAATTCAAAGGAGGAGTTGCTTGTGGGCCAGGAAACCAAGCCCAACAAGAAAACGTGTATCTGCAAGAACCGCGAACGAACCGCCACTCCGAGGGAATCTCTATAGAAGCTTCCAGAAGATGCTTACTTCATCCCCAAGTCAAAGGAATTCGAGTTCAAGTCGCCAAAGGTCTCTTTTGGTCATATGTTAGAGGAAAAACCCATTCCTGAAACTAGTATAAATAGAGACTTAAGCTAGAGTTAGAAATTCGTAAAAAGGAGGCAAAACCCTGCTGGAGTTTGACGAGGAATTGTCACCATGGATGCATGTATCATTGATGATGTCTCCTTATTCTCCTAAGCATTTCTAGCTCAAAATTGTTTAGGGATGTGACCCTATGATGCTTTATGTACTACTTTCAATGATTTAATGATGATTCCTATTGTGTTCAACGATCTTTACTATTGATGCTTAAGTCAATTTATGCTTGTGTCATCAATCGCTTATGTTATTTGATGCTTTAGTTTTTGTATGCTTTAGATCATCGATGCTTATGATTCTGTTATGTGTTACTATATGCATTTTTCTTAGTATCATATAGATTGTTATGAAATTACCCTCTAGTGATACCCCATTGACGCCACACAAATATAGATGGAATGACCAAACCATCTATACCTCGAGTAGTATCGATACTTGATTGTTAGATTATCAATGCTATATACTATGAGTTATAGATCAAGAGGCCCGCACTTTACCATATGCTATCCTAACTTCATTATTCTTCATTAATTAGGCAATGGTATGAAGAAAACGCACACATTAACTAGTCAAGTATGATGACCTTTGTCAAACCGGGGTGCTCATCTAGTACGATATTGTCCGCTTTGGGCCAAGCCCGCACGGATTTACTTTTGGGTGTCCTCCCTAAAAGGCTTCGTACTAATTGGGATAGTTGGACACTAATATACAAGGGTCCCTTCCCTTGTATTACCGATGTGGTACTTGGATTTTCCCATAACAATCCTCCCCTCAAGACAAGGACCACGAACTTCGTGTCCTCTACTTAGCGATTATCTTGATTCGCCAGACGCCTTGTATCGATGGGCTTCTTGTTATAAGGACTTTACCAAACGCACAACTCTCTTTGATCTGCTTCCCAAATGCGGAACTCTCTTTGATCCACCAAAGCCCAAACGTGGATCTCTCATGGATCCACCAAACAGACGTGAATCACCTTTGACCCGCCAGACAAACGCAGATCTCAAATCCCGAGGTCACCAAATGAAGGTCCCACCAAACTGACGCCCACCGCCCCGTACCGAACCAGAATCTGATACCACTTGTCATAATTGGGGAGCTCAATTAGTACGATATTGTCCGCTTTGGGCCAAGCCCGCACGGTTGTACTCTTGGGTATCCTTCGCAAAAGGCCTCGTACTAATTTGGCTAGGTGGACACTTGTATACAAGAGTCTCTTCCCTTGTATTACCGATTTAGTACTTGGATTGTCACATAACAACCTTAGTGTAAGGGATAGGGCATCATAATAGATGATTTATAGAAACATCTCATTGATGAACTAGTATGCATGATCATCTATATATCACTACCTAAACAATCCTTTTACTTGCTTTGTTCCCTTGTTTTGCATTGTTTTTCATTTCACTCTTGTTTAGTAGAATAGAACTCGACCAAGGGAACCTCAACCCACTTCATTTACTTTTTTTTCCACTTTCATTCGACACATTTAGTATGTTTGAGTAGTTACTATCAAAGGATTTAGCGGAATACGACCCTAGTTTATCTAGGATTTTATTACTTGCATTGCACTATACTGCGATCATAAAGTTTTTGGCAACGTAACCTCTTGAGTTTGATTTGTTTTTTTTAAAGATAATATGCTTAATACAATTGGATGGCCATAACTTTTTCGTTTTTGACAATAATAGCCACTTTTTGAAAGATACAGAGATATAGCCATTTCTTTAATAACTTTAACGGAAACATCATAAACGCTGACTGTACTAACACTTTTGGTGATGTGGATGACTTTTCATCTAGGTTGGAAATGTTCTCATTTTTATGTAATTAAAGGAAAAAATAAAAAATAAAAAGGATAAAGAAAATAAGAAGGAAAATGAGAGTCACGCAGCGGCACTACTGTTCTCAATCCCCCACCGCACCCTACAGCTTTGTCGTCGCTGACCAGAAACATATCCAACCCACTATCCGCAGCGACGAAGCAACGAACCTGATCCAACCATATCCCATTCTATTCATCTTCCCTTTTTCTCGACTAGATACCCAATCAAGAAAACATATCTAGAATCTATGGATGGTGGAATCAATAGGGCTCCTCTTCTGTCTTTGCCCTGTCGGGATGTCTCTGCTGAGTTCGTTGTCGAGCGCTCGCCGGTAGGAGAAGCAATTGTGAAGGAGGTGTTGAGATCGACTCCATTCGTCTTCTTCTAGATCTGTCTATCTTCTCCTTCCTCTACGAATCTAGGATCTACAATCAAGCGCGTCGTCGTCTTCTTACATACCCATTCATCTTCTTCCGGTGAGATTGAGAGTCTGAGAGAGAGAGAGAGAGAGAGAGATTGCAGTCGAGATGAGAGTGAGAGCAGATGGAGACGCGACGAACCATTAGTCGGCGAGCTTGCTTTTAGTGCTCGCCTAGATTCCAATTCGTCAATCCGATCTCTCCCCAGTCAATCTCGGCTACCAAATCCGCCACTAGTCAGTAGTCACCACCATCGTCGTCTCCTCCACTTAGCCATTCCAAATTGGAAAAAAAATCAAAGAGAGAGAAGTAGGAGAGGTAGAAATCGAGACTTTGGAGAGGGAGATCAAGCCGAAGGTGGGGACAAAAGAGAAAGATAACAATAATAATAATAATAAAATAAAGTATTTTTTATAAAAAATTAAAATTTTAATTTGACATGGCATCTAGGTGGCATGCGAGTCTAGTTGGAGCTAATGTGGGAGCTAAGGTGGCATCCACATCAACATCCTGTTAGCGGTGTTAAAGTTTTTAACATAAATGGCTACTTTTGTCAAACGAGTTTCCAAAATGTGACTACAAGTGTGTATTTTTAAAAAAGTGGCTATTATTGTCAATAAGCCAAAAGTTATAGCTATGTAGGTGAATTAAACCAAGATAATATATTATGCACTAGTTGACTTTGTTTTGTAGGATTCGAACTTGAGGAAGTCATAACAACCCCTACAAGGAGCATCACTCAAAGAAAGATGGGCATCCTATCTTTATTCGAGTATTTTAGGCCAAAGATGTGTCACATTTTGAGGCAAGAATGTCAATCCACCACTATGTTATTATGAAAAAGGATTCATGTCAACCGGGATAGCAAGGAATGGATCCAAAAGATGTGAAGCTACCAAGAGAGCCATATGGAGAATACCCAACTATAGAGGAGTTGGAGCAAGCTCTCGATGTTCTCGATGCAAGAAACCAGATCAATTCAGAACCTCATAGGAGAATCGATGCTAGAATCAATGTTGAAAGACTAAAGCAACTACTAGAAGATGTTCAAATCATCGAGGAAAACCCAAAGTCAATAAAGAACGTTCCAACAAGATGCATGAAGGTTTTGGAGAGATAAAAATCACGAAGGGGCTCATGGATCATGAAGAAGTCGTGGGCTATGGAGAGGAGGAAGATCATCTCAAGGCCAACCCATTAGACGAGGAAGAATATGGAGAGATCTTAGACCAAGAAGAGGAGGACCATCATAAGGCCAACGAATTTGATGATGAAGAAGAAGATGGGTTTATAATTTAATCTTCAGAAGAAGAAAAAGACAAGAGACCCCATCGGGAAGATGTGAAGGACGAAGAAAGCTACTCACAACATGTCCAAAGCATCATACCAACCATTAAGGCCATGCTCGAGAATCTTCAACCTATCCATGAAAAGAAAAATGATCAACCTAACAAGGAACTTCAAGAAGAAGATCATCTTAAGGCTGACGAATTTGACAATGAAGAGGATCTTAAGACTCACTATTTAGAAATAGAGGATGAGATACCTCCCCTAAGAGTAGTAATGGAGGAAGAAGGTTGCAGTGTTGGAGAACTTACACTAATACAAACTTTCTTGAATTCATGGGACGATGTTTAAGCCTTTACACCCCTGAAGGGCTTTGGTTGTTTTACTGTCCATTAGACTGTGGAAGATATGAAAATAGCTTGGAATCTCTTAAGCTGACCAAGCCTTCTTAGACAAAATACCGACAGGCGACTAACCTTCACCGATACAGACTGCTAAGGCGATTCATACATATCCTCTCTACTTGGAACAAATTCCAGTGCAAAATAGTGAATTGACTGACTCTCGTACAATAAATTCACTACTATCAATTGAAGAAGCTCTTATAACCTCATCATATTCTATCTATCATAGGTTAAAGTAGAAGTCAAGAGAACTTGATCAGGATTCAATTGACTCAATAAACATGCATCAGTTGATTAAAATCATCCAGTATAATATCCAAAAGTCATTACAAGCAAGATTCCTAACACATGGAACTAGGGTTCTTTATACCCAAGTGAGAGAGAGGTTTACTCCAGAGAGAGAGAGGGAGGAAAAAATAAATCAAAGCACTCATATTTATAATGATGTGTATAAACTACTCTGGGATGTCAATCTTCACTCCTGGAGACGCAATATGGGCTTCAATGGTGAGAAATCCACTCCAAATAGCTCCTAGGGTTTGTTCTTCATCACTTTCTCTTTCTAGAACTCAGTTTTTGCTAAGAAAACTCGAATCTCCATCCTTTGGATGAATCTGCTAGTTTAACCCGATACTAGGCAAAACACGGGCGGCCAGTTACACGACCGTGTTCTGGCCGTGTCCCGCCCGTGTATTGTATCCTTCAGTCACATTCATGAGCCGACTCCACGATCGCATATGAGGAAACACGGCCGTGTCCGAGTGAAACACGATCGTGTTTTTCTTTGGACTTGCCTGTGATTTCCATTCTTTAACAACCTTCACGAACCCACCTTCGGCATAAAAAAACACGGTCGCGGTGCTTTGCATATAAGGGCGTGTTTTGGAAGACGCTCGCCCGTGTTTTGCTCTTGACTCTTCGTCACCTTCGCACTAAAAAACACCGGCGTGCCCCGGGTGAAAACATGATATTTTCCTATGCAGGGGACGCCCGTGTTTTGCTCCAAAGTTGCCAAATGATCTCCAAACAACCCGAAACTCGCGCCTAAGCCTTCTTCCAAAGACTAGGACCTGAAATCTGACAAAAGAGCACAACGCAGCATAAAATAGGCTAATGAACCATAAATCCGATCCAAAATGGTCAAGAAATAAGGGTGCAAACATGTGCAAATACGATTCTATCAAATTCCCCCACACTTAACCGTTTGCTTGTCCCCAAGAAAACCAAGTTAGACATAAGGTAAGCTCAAAACGTTTTAATCATGAAAAATTTGGGGACATATCATTTAGGCATAAAACACTTTAATCCTACGCCGCCATCAGCCTAATTAGTGGCAACGTGAATGCTACAAATAATAGAAGAGGGATCTATCACACAAGAAAGAAACGAGCAGACTCAAATCTCACATGGCTACCTATATGCTCTATCTCTCATTCTAATTCCCTAAGCTAAATGCATAAATGGGTGTAAAAAAATGAGTGATCAATCCAAGTCACAGTTGGTAAGCAAACAATTGAAAAAACTGAACCCCTACACAACTCTACTGCACGTCTCAACCATCATTATAGGTTGTTTTAGTCACCAACAAGTTATCATGCATCAATGCTTACAGCCAATCGAATCTCGAGATTTGGACAGTGGGCTAGGCTCCAAGAACACAAACATAGGTTCCAATAAGCACAAAGTACCCCCCCCCCCCCACACACACACACTTAAGTTCGACATTATCCTCAATGGAGCAGAGGGAAGGTGGACCATTCAGGAACAAGAGACTGGAAGGGGACCAGTCAAAAGGCACAGAGCTAGAGGCATCAAAACACACTGTGTGATAGAGAGAACAAACCATAGTGCCATGTACACAATCCAAAAGAGAAAGAGAAGAAAAGATAAATTGACAATAGAGTCCGAGTCTGGAAAGAAAGAAAAATACATAACCCATCATCCCATGGGGGATCAGTCAAAGCCAACCTAGTACTCATCGCCTCCATTGCCAATAGGAGGTGGGTAGTTATCCTCATGCCCTGGCGAAGCCACTCAGGGGTACTAAATATCAGCAACGTTCATGCTAAGATAGTGCATCATGTAGTGCTGGCCCGCTTACGGTCGAGGCAGCAATGGAGGTCAACCTGCCACACGAGGATCTGCTCGTTTTGGCGAGCAATGGCTGCCAGCTGATCAACAATAGAGGCAGAGGGGGCGGCAGAAGGCCCAACAGAAGAGCTGGATGGGGCAGCTACAAAGTTATCGGCAGGCAGCTGGGCACGACGGACTAGACGATGGGACCCACGATGAGCTCTGGTATCGCTTGCCTCAGGGTGGTCGGCCACAACAAGAGTAGGAGCAGGCGGATGAGGAACCCCTAGAATGGTCCACCTTTCCTCGTCGATGAGAAACACACCTGGAGACTCAAGTAGATACCAAGGAAAAGGTGAGGAGAAGGGAAAACACCACGAAAAGTTCTCAGAAAACTGCCCAGAGAGCTCGCCAGAGTCTCGCCGGAGTGTCGTCTCTGGCGACTCAACCACCGCCAAACTTGACCAAAATTTTGGGGAATGGGCGCCCAGAATCCATGAACTTGGTGGTGGTCACGGTTTGTAATTTGGTGGTCGGAGGAGAAAGATTTGGCCAAAAAACCACTGAAAGGGAGAAGACGCTCACCCGTGTTTTGCTCTTGACTCTTCGTCACCTTCGCACTAAAATACACTGGCATGCCCCGGGTGAAACACAATCGTGTTCTGTGCAGGGGACAACTGTATTTTGCTTTAAAGTTCCCAAATGATCTCCAAAAAACCCGAAACTCGCGCCTAAGCTTTCTTCCAGAGACTAGGAACTGAAATCTGTTAAAAGATCACAACGTAGCGTAAAATAGGCGAATGAACCATAAATCGAGCCAAAATGGTTAAAAAACAAGGGTGCAAAAATGTGCAAATACGATGCTATCAAATTCCCCCACACTTAGCCGTTTGTTTGTCCCCAAGCAAATCAAGTCATACACAAGGTAAGCTCAAAACGTTTTAATCATGCAAACTTTGGGGACATATTATATAGGCACAAAACACGTGAATCATATTGACTTTTAGAATTCACACATGAAAAACAACAACAACCTAGACAACCACCAAAGATTACATTCAAGTGCAACAAAATCGGGTAAAGGTAGAGTCCCCCTTCTGTTCACCGACCAACATAGACTTTACTCAACCACTCATTCAAAATAGTCACCTCATGCATAAAATTTAAGACATCTGAATCAAGACCGAGAAATCTAGGTCCTCGTTGGGGTATGTAATATGAAAATTGAATCACTCACTCTCGACCAGTGGGGTCAGGACAAAATTTGATGCAAGATGTGTGCATACTCGTACTCTAAATCCCTAACGTCTCTTCACTATAACGACAGCCTCTAAATGCTAGAGTTCACATATCGGGTGTCACCACTAACTTGTCTGGAGGTCTTAGACACGGGTTCAGATGATTGGCTATGGTCTTAGACATGGGGAAACGACTTTTTAGGCGGTTGAAGAATTCATTACACAAGGTTCCACAGTTCTAAAACCAACACAACAACATTCATTTGAACCATTGACTTTCTCTCTGCCATTTTGCATTAATCAAGTTCTTTAGAGCACAAGAGTGAAGGAGGTTACAACATGTTAGTGTCTCCAAGCCAGTATGCTCAGAAACACTATAAAATGAGCATGGTTAAGATTTTTGTGGTGACTCTTTTTTTTCATTTGTTTTTTCTTTTACTTTACAGAACCTTCACTTTTGCTACATTCGTTTTATCTTGGCAAGCACATGTCTAACTTTTAAGAACTGCCTTCAATCCTCACCTTATTTCCAGCAGAAACAGCAGAAAACATGCAAAACCCACTCCGTGGAATCTCAAAGAGATGCAAAAGGGTGATTTTTCATTGTAGACACAAAGAAAGAAAGTTACACGACTTAAAGGGACGGACGAGGGGGTATGACACACCAGGAAAGTCAATTTTGTCGTGGGTTAATCCTATGCCTCCATGATCCTAATTAGTGGCAATGTAAATGCTACACATCATAAAAGAGGGATCTATCACACAAGAAAGAAACGAGCAGACTCAAATCTCACATGGCTACCTATATGCTCTATCTCTCTTTCTAATTCCCTGAAATAGATGCATAGATGACTGTAAAAAAATGAGTGATCAATCCAAGTCACAGTTGGTCAGCAAACAGTTGAAAAATTGAACCCCAACACAAATCTACTACACGTCTCAGTCAACATTATAGGTTGTTTTAGTCACCAACAAGTTACACGCATCAATCCTAACAGCTAATCGATTCACCATATAAAACCATAGTGCCAATATGATTATGCAAACATCAGTACTTGGAGCCCTCATATCTCGAGATTTTGACAGTGGACTAGGCTCTAAGCACACAAACATAGGTTCCAATAAGCACAAAACACCCCCCCCCCCCCCCACACACACAAACATAAGTTCGTCATTGCCTTCAATGGAGTAGAGAGTAGGGGAACTATGTACCAAGAAATGACGATCAGAGGCGGTGACTGGAGAGTGGACCAGTCAGGAACAGGAGACTAGAAGGGGACCAGTCCAAAGGCACAGAGCTAGAGTCATCAAAACACACCAGGTGATAGAGAAAATAGACCACAGTTCCATGTGCACAATCCAAAAGTGAAAAATAAAGAAACCGACAACAGATTCTGAGTCTGGAAAGAAAGGAAAATACATAACCCAGCATCCCATTGGGGATCAGTCAGAGCCAACTTAATACTCATTGTCTCCATTGTCAGTAGGAGGTGGGTGTCATCCTCATGCCCCAGCGAAGCCACTCAGGGGTACTGAACAGCAGCAGAGTTCATGTTCAGATAGTACATCATGTAGTGCTGGCCCGAAATGATGCGGCGACGACCATCCTGCTCACCGTAGAGGCGATGATGGAGGTCAGCCTGCCCCATGAGGATCTGCTCGTTCTGCGAGTGATGGCTTCCAGATGATCAACAATAGAGGCAGTGGGGGCGGTAGAAGGCCCATAGAAGAGGGATGGGGCAGCTGCAGAGTTGCCAGCAGGCAGCTAGCCAAGACGGACTGGATGACGGGGCCCATTACGAGCTCTGGTATTGCTCGCCTTATGGTGGTCGGCCACGTCAGGAGCAGGAGGACGAGGAAGCCCCTAGATCCACGTCAGGGGCCCGTAGCGGGCAAGTAAGAGATGGTGCCCAAGAGTCATCTTGCCGAGGGGAGTAGGTGTCTAGATCATGGTCATGTCAGTGAGATCGACCTCAAAGTATCGGGAAAAAGCAGAGATCACCAGCTCACAAGCACAGGGCGGTCGCAAGTAGAAGCCTTGGTGAATGTCTTGGCAAGGACAGAGGCCAAGTGCAAATTATCCTCCTCCTTGCTCATCGAGTGCAGGAATTATTGTGTCCGGAGAGTGAGGCGATAGGCGAAGCCCTTACTGGGAGGGTATGACTGGGTCAACAATTGGTTGAGAATGTGACACTCAGAATGGAGAAGACTAGCCCTCGTTTGGCTGGGCAAATATACATTGTCGATTGCATCGAGGAGGCAGATCCTGTTGAAGAATGCCTGGTCATGAAAGGCAAGGGGATCGGCTTCCTCAATGGCAAGGTGACATGCCTAAAGAGAGAAGAGGTCCAGTTCTCGGGAAAAATCGTCATAGCTGAGAGAATGTGCCTCCCCGCCTAGAGTAAATAGATGGCATTGGCGTGCTCTCCCACATGCCATGGGGAGTGACAGAAGGTGGAGTAAAAATACCAAACCATCTCCTGGTAGGTCGGCTCAGTGAGGCAGAGGAGGGTGCGTCAAGAGGGGGTGCGACCAGCATCTTCAATTGCCTCGCGAGCGTTCAGCGCTACAAAGACCTCAAAGTCGAGTTTGAGATGCTCATCTATGGGGCGGTCTCTGATGGCAGTTATGTGCACGTGCTGCTCGGGAATCAGCATGTCAAGATAGTCTCGACCAAGTGCGCACCTCGCCAGTGCACTTGGCCGAGGGAAAGTGCACTCGGCCGAGAAATATCGGCCCAGTGCGCACCTCCAGTGCACTTGGCCGAGGCAAAGTGCACTCGGATGAGCAATCTCGGCTTCCATTGTCCTGCAATAAAAAAGAGAGCACATATGCCAGACATAGAAAATAGGTCACGTCACAGAATCAGGTAAAATCGCACTTGGAGCCCTCAAACCGAAAGATTTGGACAGTGTACTAGGCTCCAAGTGGGACATACAAGCACATGAATTTTCCAACATTCAAACACCAATCCCAAACTAAAATTCACCATGCAATCACTGACTGAGAACAATTTCCTTAGCTTCCTACCATGCAATCGGTAGGCCGACTAAACTAGCACAAGGGCAACATCAATTCAAGCATACAAAATCCAACGGCCTACCAAATTCAACAAATTAAGCCAATATCCCCAAATTTCTCACCTAGAACCCTAGGTATCAATTCTCCAAAATTAGACAAGATAGAAGAGAAATACACCTGGACACTCAAGTAGATACCAAGGGAAAGGTGAGGTGAAGGAAAAACACCACAAAAAGTCGTCAGATTACTGCCCGGAGAGCTCGCCAGAGTCTCGCCGGAGAGTCGTTGCCGGCAAATCGACCATCACCAAACTGGACTAAAACTTTGGGGGATTGGCGCCTAGAATCCAGGAACTCGGTGGTGGTCGCGATTGTAATTTGGAGGTTGGAGGAGAAAGATTTGGCCGAAAAACCGATGAAAGGTAGAAGAGGGCCGATTTTCCGGCGATAGGAGGGAGAAACACGGTTGAAAAATGTGGGAGAGGAGAGAGACGCATCCGGATTGGATTTTTATAGGGGTGACAAAAACACGGGAGGCCAATTTTTTAGTGTGACAGCAGGCAAGGAGATTAGGTAAAACACGGGCGGGACCAGGGAGGAAAACAGTCATGTTTCGCCCTGCTCGCCACCATATTTTTTATGCCGAACCTGCTCAAAAACATTTCAAAACCGTATTTTCAAACGACCAAACGCCATCGGTGGCACAGATAGAAAAAACACATAACCAAAGACAAAAACATGCTACCCGTGGTATCAAAATAGGCTCCAGAAAGGCTACAGACAGACTCAATGACTCCAAAAATAAAAAAATAAAAGAGAAAGAAATGCAAACCGTGGTGGGGTTGCCTCCCCACAAACACTTCTTTATCGTCTTTTAGCTGGACGTAGATTGAGGAACTAACGATCCACGAGCTTGATTAGCAACTCTTCGTGCTCCACCTTAAATGACTCATTTTAAGCATTGTTGATCTCCACTGCACCATGCGGGAACACCTCGGTGATCGTGAATGGTCCCGCCCATAGTGAACGCAGCTTGCCCATAAAGAGTTTCAGGTATGCGTTATAGAGCAAAACATGATCACCAACCTGAAACTCTTTAGGGCCCTTCAACCGAGCGTCGTGGAGACGCTTGGTTCGCTCCTTGTACAAGCGAGTATTCTGATAGGAGTGGTAAGACCATTCTTCCAACTCCAGCTTACATTCAGTACATGCAGCACTCAAATTCGGGTTTAACAACTCAAGGGCCCAGAAGGCCTTGTGCTCTACCTCAATAGGCAAGTGGCAAGCCTTTCTATAGACAAGCCGATATGGTGAAGTACCAATTGGCGTCTTGTAGGCTGTTCTATATACCCAAAGAGCATCATCAATCTTGGTTGAACAATCCTTGCGAGACCGATCCACTGTTTTTTCAATTATGCGCTTTAGCTTCCGGTTCGTCTGCTCGGCTTGACCATTCGTATGTGGATGGTAAGCCACCGACACCTTATGCTTAACATCATAGCGAGAGAGGAGGTTAGAGAATTTCCCTTGAAAATGGGTTCCTATATCACTAATGAGGACTCGATGTGTCCCAAACCGGGGAAAGAGCTGCTTCAGAAATGAGCAGACACGTGTGGAGGTTCAATGAATAGGGTGGTTGGAAGCTCTATTCATGCCCTTAAAAACACATCCTCAAGTAGGCAAACCGTTCAAAGGGTGGAATTTTTACTTGTACTAGAGACAACTTAGCTTCACCTTGTAGGCCTACCCCACTAAGGATCACTAAAATCTTTTCCAAAACCCGATTTTGTGCAATGAAAGGTGCCACACACGTTGGGCTTACCCCATGTTTAATATTTCAATTTTTCTGACATGCAGGACTAATTGGTTTATCATTACACACCTAAGAACCTTATATGAAACATGAGTCCATACACAGCAAGAGAGAGTCATCGATAACACATGAATCAAATGTCCCATATCCACTAGTTCACAAATCAACCGACACAACAAAAAGGTAAATAGGAAAGATCTTATACTTCAGCATCCTCCATAGCGCTACCCTATCTCCATAGATTGCATAGTACTATAAAGACTATCAATTCAAAGCATATTGAGCAGGTCATTATAAGGAACACGTACTTGGAGCCCTCAAATCGAAATTTGGACAGTGGACTAGGCTCCAAGAACACATACTTAGCTAGAAAATCGAATAGAAACATCATCCCCACACTTAAGTTCGACAGTGCCCTCAATGGAGAAGAGGGAGAGATAAGAGGAACGATGTTATCGGGAAGAACATACTGCAGCAGGACTGGAAAGTGGACCAGTCGGAGGGAGGAGGATTGGGAATGGGACCAGTCGAATCAAGAACACAAGCTAGAGCAAAAACAAATACTCAAACACAAAGGCGTTAGGTAGAGTTGTCAGCCTAATAGTACAATATCCAAAAGAAAAACAAACCAAACACAAAAATCCAGTTTGCACTCCATCCCAAAACAAAAAACAAAAAAAAAACACAGAGAAAAACCAACGAGTACAACCTACTCGAGGTGGTCAAAGTTGATATGTTCCATGAGGTTGCCAAAGTCCTCCGGCGGTGCTGGTGGTAAGTGCTCCCACGAAGTAGTCCAGTGGTTCTCCTGTGGCGAATGACAAGAATAAAGCAGGTGCTCCTGGTACTCCATCATCCGACGGTTGCGGCCTCGCTCCCGCTCGATGTGAGCAAGGTTGATACCCTGCTGAGTCTCAAGAGGGTTGAGGCGCTCATCGAACGCAGCGAACCTGGTGGGCTGAATACTGCTGCTGAAACTGGTGCTGGTCGTCCATGAGCTGCTGGTTCTGATGCCCAAACTGCTGGAATTGGAGCCCTATTTGGTGGAACTGCTCGGGGAAGAAATCCATTGACGAACCAGAAGGACCGGAGGAGGACTCACCTCGCTCGAGTCTCCGTTGTGGAGGAAGGTCCTCTGGCGGGGAAAGTGGGGGCTCCGGCTCATTTTCATCCATATCCCCACCACCACCATCATCGTTATCCTCATCTTCCTCCTCCTCCCCAGCATAGTCATCATCATCTTCACCGTCCTCATCCGCAGCGGGAGGCATGGACAGACCGTTGATCTACTCACCCGCTTCAGCAGTGTCTAACAATAAGGCGTTGTGAAGCACATCCCTGCTGAGAGGAAGGGAGCCTCCATGCTCCGTGGTGTCGGTCAACCCGTCAAAGCTGATATCGAAGTGGCGGGCCAGACGGGTGATTAGGGGACCACAGAAAAAGTATGTGGGTTTCTTGTGGCACTTGGAAAAAGTGGTCGCCACGAGAGACCCCAAGGGTAGCATGTGGTCGGGATCCCCCATGGAGTACATGGCGTAGAGCATGCTCTTTAATATGTTGTGCAATGCGGTGGCGTTTGGGATGACCGAACGGGTAAGAAGGAGGTTGATGATGTGCCACTCGGGTCGGATGGTGGTAATAGTTGTCTGGCTTGGAATGAACCAGCCCTCGTTGTAGTCAGGACGACCGATGCGGCGGTAGAAAGCATCCTGGTTTCATTAGGTGGGATGGGGAACCTCCTTCTAGTGTCTGGAGTAAGGATGATAATGAATCTCCAAGGCCCGAGCAAACCTGTGATTCTCATCTGCCTCATGCTACCACCAAGTCAGAAAGTGGGTGGAGTCGCGATGCGCCTTGGGCCGGTACTTGAAAGTGGAGTAGAACTCCCAAACGAACTCCGTGTAGGTGGAGTCTTTGGTGGTCAAGAGAACGCACCAATGAGGGTGGCAGATGGCGGCAACCATCTCGTCGAGGCAGTGGAGTCGGTGGAAGACCCCAAACTCGAGGTGATGGTAGCGTTGAAACACCCCGTTAATGACCTTGGCGAACTGCTCAACAAAATCGATGTGAAGGCTCAGGTCCAGCACGTACGGGTGATAAAGAGAAATGATCCTGCAAAATAATCAAACCAAAGGTGGAACCAAGATAAAATCTCATTAGGACCGCACGCAGGGGCTATCCAATTCCCCCACACTTAAGGATCACCTAGGCAAGCATTCTAGCACAAAGTGGCCGCTTCGCAGTAAGAACACGACATACCAAACATATTTCAAGCATGGATCATGGCCAGAACATATCAAACATGTAATCAGGCACCTAATCCGCATATCAGAATCATCCCTCGCCCTATCCTAATTCAATCATGTCAATCAATTCACGGTTCTCGGGCCTAACATCTACAGTCCGATTTTCCAGAAATATAAAAAAATACTAAAAAAATTTACGCTTTTCTCTTCGCCACTTTCTCTCTCTAAACCTATGTTTCTTGCTCTAGAACTTGATTGTCCTCCAAAAAACCCAAAATTCACAGCTAAGAGCTGCAGCTCGCGATACCTGCCCAAATACCCGGTCGGGCATTCATGGGGGCCGGCCAGGTATTTTAAAACGCAATGCAACAACTCAAGAAAAAATACCCGAGCTGTTTTACTCGCCTGGGCTCCATTCTGCTTCTCTAGGCCTCCAAACTGTTTTACCCGGTCGCTCAGCCACTTATACACGGTCGGGTATTCTAGTGACCTGACCGGGTATTTTGCATGTCAGCTCATCCTCGCCGCCAACTCTCCATTTTTGACGCAAAACTCGCTTCCAAGCCTCCATGTCCACGCCAAGTCCTGAAATATGACATAAACGCACAACCTAGTGTGAGATCGCCTTAAAACACGAGAATCGACTCTCAAACGGTTCAATAATGGTGACCAAAACATGTGCATATAACGGTCTGTTAGGCTCATTTACGTATTTAATGATAAAATTACACTAATTAAATAGTTGTTAATATACAATTTGATCATACGCCTATTAACCTACATCTCAAAAGTAAAGAACTAATTTTTATTAGCTGGACTCGAACCTATTGGTTGCCTACATACCCGAGTAGTCGGGATCAAAATCCATATAGTTCGATCAAATAATTTGGAATGTGAGTCATTATCACATTCTATTGACTCGTGATTCGGTGATTCATAATCTGGTTAAATTGTCTTTAGAAAAGTGTCATTCAATGATTAATCTTGCTTATATAAATGGTAATGTGTTAAATAAATTTAATATCAGCATTCTCATTATCAGTTTATTACTTAACGAAAGATTATTATGTTCTATTGATTCGTGATTCAATCTGATTAGGGATGAATAATTATGAAATATTGGAGGATTAATTGAAAAAGGAAGTCATTATAGTTTAAACGGTTAAGGTATTAATAGGGAGTTAGTGAGCAAACTCTCATCGCTAAATCACGCAACCTCTCTCTTCCTTCGCTTTCTCTACCTTTGTCTGCAAAACTAAATTTGATCTCCCTCGCCTCTTCTCTCGATCTTCTGATCCATTTAACTCTAGCGAACCAAAAAAGCGAAGAAGGGAAAGAAAAGCTCTCTTTGATCTCGTCTCCTCCCTCGTATTCTTTCAGGAAACCGAGCAAGTACCAAAAAAAGAAAAACAACGATGATGCTTCACACAACACTCAAATCGATAATAAGTTAAGATTCGAGGCTTGCATGTTGATTTTATGATATGGGTATTGGGGATTTTGATGCATATTATTTAAGTGTTTTGATATGAATTTTCGGTTATTGGATCTAGGGGAGAGGAGGGATAGCCGCTAATCAGAGTCCAATCAGAGTCCAGAGATAGTGAGGGTTCGCAGGCGGGTGGCGACAGAGAATAGGGGAAACATTGGCCAACCGACGATAGCCGGACCAGCGACCGACAATGGCGGAGCTAAGATCATTTCTTTTACATTTTTACATGTCGCATTTGATTGTCTTGAAAACTTAATAGCTACCTCAGTTCATGTTGGGCGCAACGGGTGAGAACAACGAGTAAATATATTAAATTAAAAATCACACCCTTGTAAAAGGTTACCAGATAAGTTGGACCTGTGGTAGTCCTCCAGTATTACGGTAACCAACTTTCTTAGACAAATTTACTTCGGTAATTTAATAATGCAATCAATGCAGTTAAAAGCGCGATTCTATCTAGAAGCGGAAAATGTGTAAAATCATAAAACGTAGAATCAAAGCGTAAAACCGTAAGTTTGTGACGCACCCTCTAAAATAGCTAAAATATATTAAGTACACATATAGTATGTAAAATGTTAGTGTGTAGATTTTAGATAAGTGAATAACTACATGAAATTCATAATTAAAATGTAACATCTAACACATAAAGTAATTTGTGTTGACTCAAAAGTAGAGAAAACTCATAACATCTAAATAATAAGCTCATAAACGTAGATCGTAACCCGTAAACGAGCTTGAGAATCCAAATTCTCATAAGCTGGTTTGAGTTAACATAATTAGATATGATCAATTACCCAAAAACTTTTAACGTAACCCAGGTAAGAGCCACATGTGAAGATTAAGGGAGAAGACTGATACAAGGTTAGCGGCTGTTGAGAATACCATTAGGTGTCTTTTCAACCTAATGTGAAGCCCCTATCTCGACATTAGTTGTAGAACGAGTGATGAATCATGTTTTCCTTTTTTTATTTTTGCTGATATGTTTCCAAAATTACATCACTTCCGGACATTTAGCACATTTTTATGAGATGATCAAAATCGTATAAAAACGCTTCAGAATCGTGATCATACCCATGTTTTTACCAGTTTTTGTGACTAAGCGACTTTAGGTAGAAACTGAAACGTTTTGGTGGCCTGGATACGTAAAAACGTAAGTTCTTGCGTTTTAATGCGCGATTTTGACTGCACTGAATGCAATATACTACGGTTATTCTCAAAATAACAACAAGCATAGTAAGTAAATAATACCGAGGATTTACGTGGTATATGTTATATCCTAGTCGAGAAATTTCAGTCAAACACCATAAGTTGGAGTCCAAGTAGTTATTTTTCCAGCTCTTATCAGGCAGTTCACATTTCGGGGACGAAAATTCTATACGGGTGGAGGAAATGTAATACCCCGGTATTTTAGATTTGGGTTCGACTATAAATAATGATCGGTTGGACTGACGGTTACGTACTAAAAATTGCAACTACGGAATAGAAATAATTATAATAGCTATTATAATATTATTGTAAAAAATATGTATACCTACCGAGCGCTCTCTCACTAACCCTTCCCTTCCCCACACTAATAATCCCCCCCACACGAAAACTAAACCTCCGCCGCCTGATTGTGGTGTTCCCAGCAACCACAACTCAAACCATAACCAGCAGCCCCTTTCCCCTTCTCGGTCTCGCGCAACAGCTGAGGGATCGAGCCAACTAGTATTCTCAATCGTCCAAAAGCTTAACGGCAAGGAATCGAGGTTTAATCGGTGGCCAAGGTCATTGAATCTGAACCTAGACACGTTCTAGAGGTAAGGGAACTCGATCTTTTTGAGTTAGATCGATCGATTTGGTCATTTTTTGTGAGAGTGCAATTCTGGGGTTTTAGCAACAGATTTTACCGGCTATTAGTGACAGATTTTGGTGGTCACTAAAGCTGCAGGGAATTTTCAGAAACGTGTTTTTATATATTTAAATTTTTTCAAGCCTCTATGGGTGTTGGTTTCTGGGTTTAACAATTTTATAAATTGAGGGTGGTGTAGGAGATAACAGTAATTTAATTTGGGGATATTTGAAGACATACTACTATTTTCAGAAATTGGACGAACTTTTATTTCAATTAATTAAAAATCTTGTCGATGAGGTTTTAGGAGTTCGATAATTTTCCAGGGTGTATGTTCTCATGATTGACATGGGAAAAGTTTTCTTCGAATTTTTAAGAAGCTTCAGGCTAGGTGGAAAATTCGTCCAAGACGAAATTAATTAGGAAAAAAGGTCTGTTTTGAAGGGATTACTTCTAGAAAATTTTTAAAGTAGGTTAAGGAATCTTTGGAAGGAGGTTTGAGGATGGGACTTTGAGGAGAGGTTGTTTTGGTATATAAAAAGGGCTTTAAATTGAGAAAGGTCGTCTAAGAAAATGGATTCTTATTAATAGGTTTTCCAAGATAATCCGGCTAAGGGGGGATTTCTTCGAGGAAGGAATCGTGGAGTCATCTATTCGAGATAAGTGTAAGGGGGTAAAATCTGTCGTAGGTCTTTTAGTTTATGCTTTTCGTTCAAGTTATTATTTAGTTATGCGCGATATGTGTGTGAGCCATCCCACCGCCTACTTATGGGTGGGGGCACACGTTGTGCTATGTATGAATGTATGGTTAGTGGTAAGATAAACCCCGGACGGTTGGGCCACTACTGGACGCAGTAGATGGTTGGATCACTGCTAGAGGGCGAGATGTAACGCATCAGTTGATCGAGTATGTCGGGGTCACTACTGGACGACGAGACGTAGCGCAGTAGTTGACCGGGCATGGACTGGATGGCGAGACGTAACGCAGTGTCATTGCCGAGCTGGGTATGCAACCGGACGACGGGACGTAACGCGACTAGCATACTAGGGTAGGGACACCAGACGGTAGTACGTAATGCGGTGGTCCCTAGTGTTGGTGTATGAGTTAAGGATAGAAATAGAGAACTCCTACGAGTTCAGTATAGAAGTAGAGGACTTCTATAAGCTAGTAGAGAGAATGATTATTTAAGAGCAGAAAGTGAGAACGGTTATCGCGCTTGGAAGGAAACTCTAATAACATGTTTAGTAGGGAGTTTGCCTAGGGTAAAGACCTTAGGAAGTAACGACGAGACTGGCCCCTTCTCACTCACAAGGTGAAGAGAGGGGAAGAGAACGCATCCACCAAGAGGAGGTTGCCCGAGGAGAGCAGTCGGGAGAATCTTGAAGATGTCAGCAGGATCTGGGTAATGAGATAGAACCATTTAATATTCTTGTCTTACTTCATGTCTTAATGAGTATACTCGGAAACTCAAGAATGGTGTTTTATGTTTTGTTTCTTTGGATTGAGGTCGCCCAAGTTTTAGGGCATTTCACTTGAGAATCTTAGCATTGTCATTGTTGTTTTTCAGTTTTTGACTTGTAAACCTATTTTGGGTTGCTCCGGAGTAACTGAGTTGTGGTTTGAGTTATGGTTTTCTTTTATAAAAGGATCGGGTCATTACAGTATACCCTGATTTGGGCCAGTCCACGGGAACAACACCTTTGGAGTATTTCTTCACTATCACAACAGTAGGATACAAATAATTTCAAGATTCAAGGAAATAGAACACTCGGTGTTTACCAGAACAACCTCACTATTTCGCTCACAAGAAATCTCCTATCTGATCAAGGTAGTGAAAAAGTTTCACTACCAAAACACACAATGAAGAAATAGCTCGTAAGCTAGCAAATGAGAGCAATGTAACACAACAAAAGAAGAAGAAGAAGAAGAATGAAAATGAGATGGGATGATCGATGCTGGGAGCTAGCGTCCCTTTTATCGCCGCCAAATTGTGAGACAGGGGAATTAAATTCCCATCCAAAATTTTGGTGGCCATTTAATCACCTCCACCACCTTCCTCCAATAGGCCATGTGGGCGGGCCTCACAATTCTCCCCCGCCCGACTATATGGGCGACTTTGTCATCCCTGGAGCTGATCTACTGAACTCAAACTTTTCTCTTGGAAGGGACTTGGTACACATATTTGATCCATTTTCGTCAGTATGGATCTTCTCCAGTTGTATTTGCTTCATTTCGAGTACATCCAAACTCCAATGATATCGAACATCTATATGTTTTGACTGGGCATGAAATGAAGCATTCTTTGCAAGATGAATAACACTTTGACTGTCATGGAACAATTGTGTTCGTTCTTGTTAGAACCCAAGTTCATTCAAGAATATCTTCATCCAGTTCATCTCCTTGCACGCTTCTGTGGTTGCTATATACTCAGCTTCTGTTGTGGAAAGAGCTACATATTTTTGTAGCCTTGACTTCCACGATATTGCTCCCCCTGATAAGGTAATCAGGTAACCATAAGTGGATCTCCTTGAATCAACGTCACCTGCCATGTCAGCATCTGTATAGCTAATAAGGATAGGTTCACCATCCCCAAAACATAGACTCATTTTGGAGCTACCTCGAAGGAATTTGAGGAACCACTTCACAGCTTCCCAATGTTCCTTTCCTGGTTTGGAAAGAAACCGAATGACAACTCCAACTACATGAGAAATATCTGGCCTTGTACACACCATGGCGTACATCAAACTTTCCACTGCTGAAGCATATGAAAAATTTTCCATCTCTACCTTTTCCTTCTCAATAGACGGTCTCTGTTTGGATGTCAATGTAAAGTGATTAGCAAGAGGACATCTAACCGCCTTAGAATTATCCATGTTGAAATGTTGAAGTACTTTCTCGATGTACTTCTCGTGACAACCATATCTTCTTGGCACCTCGATCCTGAACGCTCCTTACACTAAGAATCTGCTTTGTTGGTCCTAAGTCTTTCATGGTAAAAGACTTGCTCAACTCCTTCTTCACGTCATTGATCCTTGAAATGTTCTCCCTAGCAATTAGCCTATCATCCACATAGAGCAAGAGTATGATGAAATCTCCATCAGGAAATTTCTTCATGAACACACAGTGATCTGAAATAGTCTTCTTGTAGCCTTGCTCCCCCATAACACACTCAAACTTCTTATACCACTGCCTTGGTGCCTACTTCAAGCTGTACAAGCACTTTCAGAGCCTGCACACATAATCCTCCTTTCCCTCTTTCTCGAAGCCTTCTGGTTGCTCTATATAAATATCTTCCTCCAAATCACTATGAAGGAATGCAGTTTTCACATCCATTTGTTCAACCTCCAGGTTAAGACTTGCAGCTAGTCCCAACATAGTACGAATGGATGTTATCTTCACCATAGGTGAAAAAATCTCGTCAAATTCAATGCCTTTCCTTTGACTGAAGCCTTTCACGACTAGTCTTGCTTTGAAGCGTGGCTGGCGGTTGTGTTCATCGTGCTTGATCTTGAAAACCCACTTGTTCATCAAAGCTCTCTTGCCTTTCGGCAACTTCACCAGCTCAAATGTCTGGTTCTCTTACAAGGAATCCATCTTGTCTTGCATAGCTTCTGTCCACTTCTGTTTGTGTTCATCATTCATAGCTTCTGTGAAGCTCTCTGGTTCTCCCCCGTCAGTAAGTGACACATATTCAATATTAGGATATCTGGTAGAGGGTCGTGTGACCCAACCATATCTCGTTGTTCGAACAGGAGAACCCTCAATAACTGGTGGTTGACCATCTTCATCAACATCTTCTGGTTGAACCTCAACAGTGGCATTTGGTTCAACTATCTTAGGCTGATCATGTTGTTCTTCTTCTCCAACTTTTGTAGGCACCGGCGTTGGAGGCACTAGCTCAAGGTTTTGTTGGCTAGCATCAGTAGTAGGAACTTCTTTCCTAGAAACAACATATTCGATAGTCTCATTCTCGTTGAACACAACATCACGGCTTCTAATAAGCTTCTTCCGGATTGGATTATGGAATCTATAGCCAAACTCATCTTGACCATAGTCAATGAATATGCAAGGTTGCATCTTGGCATCCAACCTTGACCTTTCATCCTTTGGAATATGGACAAAGGCCTTGCAACCAAACAAACGCAAATGTTTGTAAGAAACTTCTTTTCCTGTCCACAACTTCTCTGGGGCCTCATACTTCAGTGGTACACTTGGTGAACGGTTCCACACATAAACTGCTACAAGTTGTGCCTCCCCCCAGAAAGATTATGGTAGCTTTAAGTGTGATAACAAGCTCCTGACTCTCTCTAGCAGGGTTCTGTTCATCCTCTCAGCTAGACCATTCAATTGCAGTGTATTTGGTGGTGTGAATTGCTGTCGGATTCCATGATCCTTGCAGAAGGTAGTAAACGAACCTCTGTACTCTCCACAATTTTTGGAGCGGATGCACTTCAGTTTCTTGCCAGTTTCCCTCTCCACCAAGGCCAAGAATTGCTTGAAAAAGTCTAGGGCCTGATCCTTGGTCTTCAAGGTATACACCCAGGTCTTCCGTGAGTGGTCATCAATGAATGTCACAAAATATCTGGCACCTCCAAGTGATTTGATGTTAACATCGGGTTCACAGAGATCTGAGTGAACTAGATCCAACACGTTCTTCACTCTTTAAGGGAAGGAACTTTTGAAAGCAACTCTGTTTTGTTTTCCCACCAGGCAATCAACCCACTTCTTTAGATGAACATGATACAACCCAACTATGACTTTCTTTTGGGCCAACTACTCCATGGACTTCTCACTCATGTGACCAAGCCGTTTGTGCCACAATTTGATTGTCTCACCATTCTCCGCTGAGTTGACAATCTTTGGGGAGATCTTGGCTTCCGTCACATACAACTTTGACAGTTTCTTGCCCTTGGCCAACACCAAGGAGCCTCTGGTGATTTTCCACTGGACATTATGGAAGGTGTTGCAATAACCTTCATCATCCAACTTGTCTACAGAGATGAGATTCAGACGCATTTCTAGAACATGCCTGACATTCTTCAGCAGCAGCTTCGTACCATTCATCGTCTCCAAGCATACTTCTCCTTTTCCAATAAATTTGGAAAGGTTACCTTTTTCCATTCTTACTACACCAAAGTCACCTGGTGTGTAAGATGATAAAAATTCTCTCTTGGACGTCACGTGAATTGCCACTATCAACTACCCAACTTGTCTCCTGGGTTGTCAGGTTGACTGCATCTTCTTCGTTGACAAGATTGAAATCGTCAACAATGTTTGCACCATCATTATCACTGTTCTCATCTCGTTTTCCCTTCCTTCTCTCGTTTCTGAACTTTAGGCAAAATCCCTCGACTCTTGCCTCTTTGCTTCGAGCCTCTCGCTTCACTTCTTCCACTTTTCTGGAATCCACCGCCAAAATGTCTGATTGTGTAGATGATGAGGATGCACCTTGTAATATTTTCCACATCTCTTCATTCAGGACTCCGCTTTTGACAATCTCCATGTTGATAATTCCATCTTTCACAGAGTTTGTAAGTGAAATCTTCAGCGTCTCCCACGATTCTAGAAGGGAAGCCAGGACCAGCAGGTCGACCACCTCATCTCCCATTGAATCGCTAAAACACAACACCTAACAATGGCCAAGTGTAACCAATGAAAGGAACTGCAGTATATTGACACAAGTAATAAATATTTAATCCACAGGTCTCTAGAGTTACTATTACTCAGCTTCAGTTCATTATCTAGCAAACTAGATTGAGGATTGATTTACTAAACTACTCTACTAATTACAAGTTGGGAACTCACTTAGGTATGATTCCCCCTTGCTCCTCAATTAGGTCCAAGTTGCAATTACCTTTGGTTGATCTAGTATTGATTAAACTGCGGAAGATCTTAAATTAGCTTGGAATCTCTTAAGCTGACCAAGCCCTCTTAGACAGAATACCCGGCAGGCAACTAGCCTTCACTGGGATAGACTTCTAAGGCGATTCACACAGATCTCCACTACTAGAATGAATTCCAGTACAAAGCAGTGAATTGATTGACTCTCGAACAACCAATTCACCACTATCAATCAAGGAAGCTCTCATAACCTAATTAGATTCTATCTATCATAGGTTAAAGCAGAAATCAAGAGAAATTTGATCAAGATTCAATTGACTCAATAACTCATGCCTCAATCGATTACAATCGAACAATATAACATCCAAAACTTCATACGAGAAAGATCCTAACACATGGAACTAGGGTTCCTCAAAACCTAAGTGAAGGGAAGTTACTCCATAGAGAAGAGACAAACTGCAAAAATCTGATCTAGATCTTCAATCTCCATCTCCAAGCTTGATTCCCGAGCTCCAATGGCAAAGAAATCCTCCAAAATAGCTCCAAGCATGTTCCCAAGTCGCTCTCTCTCTCTAGGGTTCGTCCCTTGGGTGTTTGGGAACCAAAACCCAGCTTTCTCTTTCCTTTGGCTTGAATCTGCCTAAAAAAACCCAATTCTGGGCAAAACACGGCTGTGCCCGCCCGTGTTTTGCCCCCAGAAGCCATCATGACACGTCCTCGGCAGTAAAAACACTAGCGGGGGCCATATAAAACACGGCCACGTTTTTAGGGTAGTCTGCCCGTGTTTTTACTGCCGAACATGTTCCCCTATATTCATTGCTTCGTTTCTCCCTCGTCCGGATTGCGAATCAGTCGCCGTTTGATCCCAGACGCTCGTAGTCTCGTCCTCTTTCTTTTAATGACAAGTTTGCATGATTCTTTGTCCATAAATGAGGTATAAATCCGTTATTCTTCAGGCCATGCCCGAGTTTCTTCTTCCGAATCGCCAATTGATATCCGATTGACTTGAAATTTGCGCCTATGCCTCCCTTTACTCAATAGGACCTGAAATGTGACAGAGGATCGCAACCTAGAGTAAAGTAGGCAAAAAATGCACGACTAGGATTCGTAAACGGATAAGAAATAAGGGTGCAAACACGTGCAAATACATAGTTATCAAATTCCCCCACACTTAATCGTTTGCTTGTCTCCAAGCAAACCAAGTCAGACACAAGGTGCACAAAATATTTGGGACATGTCATACCTGAACAAAACACATGAATCACACTAGCCTTTAGTCATCAACACATGAACAACCTCGACAGCAACCTAGACAACCACCACAGATGACATTTGAGTGCAGCAAAATCGAGCAAAGGAAGAGTCTCCCTTCTGTTCACCAACCAACATAGACTCGACTCAGCCACTTATCCAAGACAGTCACTTCATGCATAAAACTCAAGACATCAGAATCAAGACCGAGCCATCTAGGTCCTCACCAGGGTAAAGAGTGTAAAGAACAAAGAAATGAATCGCTCACTCTTGACCAGCGGGGTCAGGAAAATTTGATGCGAAAAATGTGCATGGTTATTCTCTCAATCCCTAACGTCTATTCACCATGACGGCAGCCTCTAAATGTTAGAGTTTACATAAGGGATGTCACCACTAACTAATCTGGAGGTCTTAGACACAGGTTAGATGAATGGCTAGGTTCTTGGACATGGGGAAAATGCCTTATAGGTGGTTGGAGTATTCATAGAACAAGGTTCCACAATTCCAAACCCAACACATTCACATCCAATCAAACCACTTACTTTCTTTCTACCATTCTGCATTACTCAAATTCTTTAGAGCACAAGAGCGAAGGAGGTCACAATAAATGTTAGTATTTCTAAGCCAGATTGCTAAGAAACACTACTTAATGAGCATGATTCAGATTTTTGGTAGTGGCTCTCTTTTGCTTTCATTCATTTTTTTTTTCATTTATTGAGAGAACCATCACCTCTGCACATTTTTCAAACACATGCCCAACTTTTAAGCACTACCTCCAACCCTCACATTATTTTTAGCAGGAACAGCAGAGAACAAGCAAAAACCACTCTGTGGAACATTCTAAGAGATGCAAAAGGGTGATTTTCCATTGTAGACCGAAAGAAAGGAAATTACACGGCTCAAAGGGGCTGACTAGGGGGTATGACACACCAGGACAGTCAATTTAGTCGTGGGCTATTCCTATGCCTCCATCATCTTAGCTAATGACAACGTGAATGCTACACATCATGGAAGAGGGATCTATCGCACAAGAAAGAAACGAACTGGCTCAAATCTCACATGGCGACCTATATGCTCTATCTCTCATTTTTATTCCCTGAACTAGATGCATAAACGACTGTCAAGAACAAGTGATCAATCCAAGTCACAGTTGGTAAGCAAACAGTTGAAACACTGAACCCCTACACAACTCTACTGCATGTCTCAGTCATCATTATAGGTTTTCCTAGTCACAATCCAGTTGTCATGCATCAATTTGAAAGCCATTCGATTCACAAATCAAGCCCACAGTGCCAATATGATCATGCAAACATCAATACTTGGAGCCCTCAAATCTCGAAATTTGGACAGTGGACTAGGCTCCAACCACACACATACAGCCAAACATTCACACACATACATAATCGAACATCCCCCCACACTTGAGCACGACATTGTCCTCAATGGAGGAAAGATAAGGATGGTATAACGAAGTTACCAGATTAAGGGTGAATGATGGTAGACGGGGCAGGCGTTGCATTCCAGGAGGAGAGAGTAGTCGGAACACAAAAACCACACAAAATCTCACAAAGGTTGAGTTATTGACTCTAAAATCAAAGAACAAAACTGACTCAACCGAGGAGAGATAGGGAAAGAAATGCGAACCGACTAGTTGAGTTGCCTCCCAACAAGCGCTTTTTTCACGTTGATAACGATGTAATTGCACATGTTTGCACCCCTAGTTCTTATCCTTTTGCGGGGCGAAGTAGTGTATTTTTGGCCTAGTTTACGTCGAGTTGTGCTACTTTGTCCTATTTCAGGTCCCAGACGTCGAAGGAAAGGCTAAACACGAGTTTCGGAGCATTTGGAAGTCATTCGGTCGAGCTGGGGCCAAAGCACGGGCTGGCCTAAACCAAAGCACGGTCGTGTTCCTGGACCGTGTTTTTCCTGCCGAGGCTTGATCCAAGATGTTCCTGCGCTGGCCCAAAACACGGGCGGGAGTGACTGAAAACACGGCAGTGTCCAACATTAGGCGCGATCGTGTTTCCCCAAGATGTGGGCGTGTTTTTAACACGTGGCAAGGGCACGGGAGGGCAAAAGCAAAGCACGGCCGTGCCCTCGACCGTGTTTTACCCAGGGTCGGCCTTTTTAGGCAGATTTGAGCCAAAGGAGAAGGGGTTCCGAGTTTTAGAGAGACAGAGCGATACCTAGAGAGAGAAAGTGACAAAATTGAGTCTTCAAGTGTCTTTGATCGATCTCCATCACCACGGGAGCCCGGCTTGATCTTGGAGAAGATTCGATTGAGCGCCAGAAGCATATTATCATCCGTCACAGTATGGTTTCCGCATCTGAGCTAGATTTTCCATCTCTCTCTATGGAGTAGTTTTCTTATTCATCTGGGTATGGAGAACCCTAGATTTTTATGTTAGGTCTGATTGTATGAACCCAAGTACAGATTCTATGATTTGATTATATTCAATTGAGGTTTAATTTGTTGAATGGCATGAATCCTGATCAAATTCCTGTTGTTTCTGCTTTAACCTAGAAAGAGAATATCTGCCTAGGTTGATAGAGCACCCTTAATTGAAGGTAGTGAATTGGTGACTTTAGTCGAGGAGCCAATTCACTATTCTGTACCGAATTTACTTCGGTAGTGGAGGTTTGGTTCGTTAGGGCCTCAATCTGTTTACTCCGGTGGAGGTTAGTCGCCCGCTGGGGACTCAGATTGAGAGGATCTGGAGACCTTTAGTCGAGACTTCAGATTGCTTAAGAACCTCCCGCAGTATAACTATCATTAAAACTGAACTTGGTAAATTGAAATCCGGCTTAACTGCATTCTAGGGGGAACCATATCCGGGTGACCTCTCTTGACTTGAAAACAACCTTCTTGCTTGCTTTGTTTGTTTGTTTGGCGCCGTTGCCGGGGACGGCTAGGTTGTTGAAGAAACGTGAATTCTGTTAATTTAGCTTTTCCTTTTCGTATTGATTGCTTTGTCACACTTGTGCCTTCACGGGTTTGCTGCTTGACTGTGTGCAAGTAGTGCATGACCCGTAGCCAGTCAGGAGGTTTACTGCCGTTGGATCCGGAGCTTGAACGCACCTGCTGCCAACTTATGAGACAACAGCGAGCTAGACTGGCTACGGAGGAGCGCATAGACGGCCACTTGAGTAGCGAGTATGAGGAAGAGTACGAGATGGAAGGAGACCATAACCCGCCAGAGGGGATACCTCTCCAGGTCCCCCCAGTGAATCATATTTTGGGGAACAACCCCATACCCCAGGCAGATGGGGTTCATCATCATCCACTACCGTCGGGTCCCACCTTGGAGTACTACCACACTCCATGGGTTGCGGATATCCGCCCTGTCATCCTCTACCCGCCCATTCCAGCAAACAACTTTGAGATCAAGCCATGCTGGATTCAACTCATTACATCATCTGTCCAGTTTCATGGCTTGAAGGATGAGGAGGCAAGGGTGCACCTGTCCCGTTTCCTGCAGCTGACGAACGAGTTCAAGCTGAATGGTGTCCCTGATG